GGGGGCGGGTTCTGGGCACCACCAAAATTTCTACAAACCTGCTACCCCTGATCCTGCCCTGCAAACCTGGACTCCCAGCATTCTCAGACACAGGCTGATCCCTAGTGGCCACTGCTGATATCCAGCACCTCCCTCCTCTCCTCACCTGTGAGTCCCTCTCGGGATTGGAACTGGACTGGAACCAATTACCAGCCCAAGCAGTCAAAAATCATGAATTGACCCCCCAAAATCACAGGCTCTACTGCCGCCGCTTCATTCATTCTTTGGCGTCAATTCGGCGGCAGGCCCTTCCCTCCAAGAGGGACTGAGGGACCCGCCGCCGAAGAGCTGGCTCTGGGGAAGGGCGCAATTTTATATTCTTGCCTCGGGCGCAAAAATACCTAGTTACGGCTCTGAGCTCAGGGCTTCTGACCTGTGGCAAGGGTAGGAATAGGGCTTTCTGCCCAGCAGGGAGGGGGATATTTGGGCTTCAGCCCCATGGGAGGCAACTGCTGGGGCTCAGGGCTTCAGTGGGAGAGGTGCTTCAGCCCCAAGCCCCGGCAGGCACGCCCCACGCGGCGACCCCACAGAGCAGAAGCCCCTACCCCACCACCCCGCCATAGGGCTGAAGCCCCGAGTCCCGGCAGGAGCGCCCCAGCTCTTGAACTTCTGAAGATTGACCTGGGGCTCTGGTATGAGCTGGCACCTGGTCTGCCAGTGTCACAGGGTGGCCAAAGAGCCACATGAAAACTTCCCATGTGCAGCCTACAAGTGTCACCTGACAGCCCAGACCTAGAGCTGCTCTGAACCATGCACTGGAAACTGGGCTGTAAGCATCCTGAAAGGGCCTGGCAGGACAGACACCCCTGGGATGGGAAATTGTTGTTGGCATCTCTGGATAGCGCTTGTGGGTTCGAACTGCCTGTGGTTGCTAGTGAAAGTGGCTTTGCTTAGTTTGGTCTGGAAGGGGGAAGAGGTGTGACAAATGTGAGAATACTGGTCATATTTTATGGGTTCCTGTGCATGTCTGTGGGCTTTGCACAGCTCTGTACTGAGTGTGAAGGGAAGGGACAAGGGGTGTGACACACGCAGCCACCTGGTTGGAGAGCAGAGCTGTTAACATGCAGAGTGCACACGTGAATGGAGGAGCGGGAGAGACAAAGGAATTCCCATTGGCCGGGACATTCACACCTAGCTACCAAGGACCAGGAGGAAGGAGATCCCACCACCGCTCTGCAGGGAAGCCCAGCAAAGACCCCTAGCAGGAGGACAAAGGGGGAGGGGCTAAGTGCTGAGCTCACAGACACACGGAGCTCGCACCTGGGACTGACAGACAAAGGCACCGGGACAGACAGCGAGAGCAGAGATCGTTCCTACGGCAGCAGGGCCTAAGGGAGCTCTGGCTTAACCTTAACCATGGCTTCTCTCTGCTAATCTCAGGGCTTCCCCGTGCTGGGTCCCAGGTGACCAGTAAACCCGGCTGTGTTGGGAAAGGGCTGCCGGGTGTCCCTGCAAATGCCGGCTGAGGTGCACTGGGCCTGCAGGGTGGGCAGGTCTCTGCCCAGGAGCTCAGTTGGGCTCAGATGGACTTTTTTTTTTAACTTTCCTCATATTTATTGCAAGATACAAGGGTAAAGAACAATTTTAACGGTAAGGCTTCTGGTAGCATGCACGAGCAACAGGTCCACCAAACTTCTTGGACTTGCAACGACGAGGATCTGCCACCAGTAAGGTCCCATCATACTGGATTAAGATGTCCTTGATTTCCTTCTTGGAAGCTTCATCAACATACTTCTGTTAATAAGCCACCAATGCTTTGGAAATAGCTTGACGAATTGCGTAGATTTGTGCTACATGGCCACCACCCTTAACACGGACTCGGATGTCAACACCAGCAAAGCGTTCCTTGCCCAGGAGGAGAACAGGATCAAGCAGTTTATCCTGCAGGGTTCTAGGCTCAATCATTTCCAGGGGTCTCCATTCACTTTAATGAGACCATTTCCTCTTTTGCAGTGAGCAACAGCAGTAGCTGTTTTCTTCCTCCTGAAGAACTGGACGCTCTGCGGGGCCCCTTGGCTGGCATGGCTCCTCCTTCCCGTGGACTTGCCGGGCAGAGCTCACGGTGTGAAGCTGGAGGGCTGGAGCCCAAAGGCTCAGGCCAGGAGGCAGTGAGGCCACATCACCCATCCTGAAGGACGAGTGGGACCCCTTGGGGTCTGGCCCACTGACGTGGGGATCCTCCAAGGGACTGTTTAAAAGCTGGAGGTAGCACCGATCCTGTGGCTCCGTGACACCCCGTGTCTAAGGAACTCTTCTTCGGCCACTGCACCACTCTGCTCCTCTCTTGGACGTCTCCCGTTGCTTAAAACTCTTTGATTTGCCGCCCCACAATGAGCAAGGCTGGTCCCATGATCCATTTCTACCCCTCTTGCACAAATCTCACCAGCCGTATCCTGGGCAGGCGGACAGAGCCCAGCATCCCCTGGGTGCATGTTAATGTTGGCTCCAAAAATTGGCATGATCACATTTCACCTTGATCTGCGAACAGACGACGCAGGCCTGGGAGGGGCTGAGTCACTGTGTTTACTTGGACAGCCTCTGGCAAGAAGCCTGCAATGAACTAGAATCAGGCGCAGCTCCCAGGATCCTATAAATAGGAGGGGACCTAGCAGGGGTCGGACAGATTGCAGGCGCCCAGCACCCAGCGCTGATGTCTCACCGAACCATGGACTGGCTGATGCTCCTGGGGTGCGTCTCGCTGTGGGCGGGGCTGACGCTGGCTGAAGTGGGGTCGTTCAGTGGCTGCACAGAATATTTCTACCAAGAAGCTGAGCCACGTGGCTTTGCCACAAACGACACGGCCGAGATCTGCCAGAGGTACAAGAATCGGTACCACTTTGCGACCCTCTATGACAGGCCCAACCGGATCCCGCGCTGGTCGGCGTACACCCTGGATGATGCTGCCTGCTCAGGGCAGGCCAAGAGGATGAGCCAGTGGTTTGTGGAGCCCCAGGTCAGTCTCAGCGCTCTGCGTGATGCACTCCAGGGGTCGGAATCGCTCAGGCAGCCTGTGAATAAGGGGTGTAAGGGGGAGGGGTGGAGAAGGAAAGGGGGAGGGGTCACTCCTCAAGAGAGCTTGGGGTGTGGGATGCTCTGCCACAAGGGCAATGGGGCCGTGGGATGCCCTGCCGCACAGGCAATGGGGCCGTGGGATGCCCTGCCGCACAGGCAATGGGGCCGTGGGATGCCTTGCCGGGCGGGCAATGGGGCCGTGGGATGCCCTGCTGCTGCTGCTGCCTTCATTGTTCCTGGGCTCTCGTGGATCTCTGTCTGGGTCTGGACCCTACATCTTGGCTTGATCGTCCTGCTCCAGCCATGCAATCCGCTGCAGCTCGTTTAACTTCCCAGCACTTAACCCCCTCCCCCCGCCCAGCTTGGTGATGCTCGTCTCAGGAATGTGGATGTATGTCCGTCTTGCTGCCTTCTGGGACTAAACTTTTTACTGCTGCAAGTTAATTATTGCAAAATCCTCCTGGTGCATTCAATGGCCCCCCCTCTGTGCCCACTGTCATGGATCCCCAGGATCTGTGCTAGGTCCCAACTTTTAAATAATCTCTTAAAGACACCCCTTTAATGGGCCCCCCCTCGTCCCCTGGTCCCACTGTTCCTTAAGGGTGATCCCCACAGCCTCAATGCCACCCAGACTGAGCCTTGGTGGGGGCTCCAGCTTCACACCGTGAGCTCTGCCCAGCAAATCCAGCGGAGGTAGATCCCTGCTCAGAGATGTGTCCCCTGTTCAGGGATCAATGCATCTCAGTCGATATTTACAGTGGCACCCTGCAGCCTTTTCCAAACAGAGCAGAAGGGTTAGTAGTGAACAGCAACGACGCATCGGGAAGTCTGCAGGTTAGCAAAGAGACGCCAAGGGGAAGACATGGTCCCTCCTGGCCCAGCCAGCTCTGCACCCAGCCACACTGTTGTGTAGGAAGGAACCACTTTGGCCCCGTCTCTATGTATCTTTATCCATCAGTCCAAGGCATGAGCCCTGTGTCTCTGTGAGCTCAGCTCATAACCCTTCCAGGTGACACCTTCCCGCTTTGTTCTCCATCTCGGGTCTTCACTGGCAGGTCCGTCCTTAGGCATATGCAGCATATGCAGCTGCGTAGGGCACCATGAAATTTGGGGCACCAAATTGCCCCAAATTTCATGGTGCCCTAGGCAACTGCATGCTGCATACGCGCCAGCACCAGCGACCAGCCCTATCCCTCAGCGATCCCCCCCGCGGGCTGCACCCACTTCAAGAGGCCTTCCCTAGGGGGTGTGGGGACCAGGACATCTCCCTCTGCCCTGCCTCTTACCCTTCTGTTGCCTGCCCAGAACTGGGCCCGAGATGGCAAACAGGGGGTTCGTCGCCCGGAGTTCTTGGCACCAATAAAGACACCGAGGGGAGAAAGCAAGCCAAGTTTATTTCAGAGCTCTGAAATGGCACTAGGAGACCAGCATGTCTCAAATCCAGTGCAACAAATACAAACAACTTTTACCTTTTATACTCCAAACTGTTTGCATACATCTCTTTGTCTGGCTGTTCCCCCTTACCCCTCCCTTCCAGACAACTGGTACAATAAGCTCTACATACGCTTGTGAGAAAACTTTCTCAATCTTTGCGACATTGAGTTAGACGCCTGCAAACTAACTACCCCGCTTCTTATCTCTATTATTTCTGCTAGTGTGAGTGAAACTGCAGCCATCTGCTAGAAACGCTGACATTACATTTCTGCTTCAGCCTACTTCAGAGCATGTAAACAGTTAGCAGAGAAGTAGGTGAGAGTTCACAAGATGGAGTCACTGTGGTTCAGATAGGCCCAGAGCAAAAGAGCTTCATCGGCACTTTTGGCCTTCCACTCTCCCGAGTTACCTGGTGTCAAAGTTAGCCTGAAGATAGATACGTAATCACAGCCCGCTGTGTGATGAGTACCGCTCCCTGCTAATCCTTACTGAG